GCGGGGCGGGCTCTGGGCGTGTGCGCAACCCGCGGGGGGGGGGCGGGCGCGGCGTCGGGGCGTGGGAGGGAGAGACAACAAAAGAGAAGGGCCCCCGAAAAAAAAAAAAAAAAAAAAAAAAAAAAAAAAAGAGGAAACTAAAATTACTGATAATTCTTCTTTCCTAGATACAACTATTAATACAGAGCCCCTTTTTGTAAGAATGTGTTCATCTCATAGACTTTTAAGTTATTTTCCTAAAGGCTTCTGAAGCCAGGTTATGCTTTGAGAATTATTAGCAGCAGATCTGGAATTTTATAAAGTTGCCTTTATATAGGATCTTTATGAGTCATTCTAGTGTCAATAGTTGTTTAATGTGGCCTTCTAGTAGAGAAGGCCTGTACAAACCAGTGGCTATGGTAATCAGATTAATTTAAAACTATTATGAGAAAAAGTTGCTATTCATCTGTTCATCATGCCTCAGTTTGTCAATTAAGCAGTGATAATTAACAGTTCCAATAGTAGAAATTTATGAGAATTTCCATCAGTCGAGGATAAAATGGGGACAAAATGGTCCTCTGGCAGTCTTGCCCATCTTAGTTAGGGGCTGCTTTCTCTATCCAGGTGTTTAAGCCCAAAACCTGGGTGGTTAAGGCCTGTCAAGGATGACACCTCTTTCTCTCACATCCCACACACCCCAGTCCATCAGCAAATCCTGTTGATTCTGCTATTAAAGAAAGTGGTCTTGCATCTGACCACTTTTTACCTTCTCCATGGCTCCCACCCTGGTTCAATCCATTATAGTCTGTGGCCTGATTTCTTAAAATAGCCGCCTCACTGGTTTCTGTTTCTCCCCTTCCTCCCTTTAGTCTACTGTCAGCACAGCAACCAGCAGGATCCTATTGAAATGTGTCAGCTCAGGTCACTTTTCTGCTCAAAACCCTCCAATGGCTTTTCCTCTCACCCAGAGTGAAAATCAGAGTCCTCACCATTACTGCAAGGCTCTAGAGGATCTGCACCTCCCAGCCTGCCCCTCGTACTTCTCTGATCTGTCTCCTACTTTTCTCTCTTTGGCCCACGTGACCATTCCTCTGATGTACCAGACCACTCCCACCCCAGGGCGTTTGCACTTGTTGTTCTGCTGCTTCTGCACGGCTCCTGCCCCCACTTCCTTCTTTGTGTCCTTATGCCAGTGTCACCTTCTCATGTGGTTTTTCTGGCCACCTGTAGAAAATATCATCATTCACTACATTTCCTATACCTTTCCTGCTTTTTCTCCTTATTTATTCTTGGTATTCTCTAGCTCCGTGAAGGCAAACACTTTGCCTGTTTTATGTACTGCAGTGTCCTCAGCACGTTGAACAGTGCTGGCACGTAATATGTGCTCAGTATTTGTTAAATAAATGCAGGAGGCTACCAGCGCTACACTCTGTTGTATGTATTATGTCATTTAATGCCCACACCAACCATAGTTACCAGAAAAATCAATTATGTTAGGCAGGAAAACATATTCACCAGTTTATCAGAAACAATGTGTTGAGATCATAAACCTCTAAATATTACAATTACTTTTACAGAAAAAGCCATAGTATACCCTGGAATTGCTGTATTTTTCCAAAATGCCTTCATCTTTTTTGGGTAAGTTTGTTTTGCATTCTTCATCCAATCTTTTTTTAAAATTATGGTTTATTTTATGTCATTTACTATATTTAGTTGCTTAATTTCCCCGTCTAATGCCCCTTCCCCATGTTAGTGTCATAAAATACGAAGAATGAGACTGAGAAAGATATTTTTACTACATGGGTTGGCTTGCTGCCCACCTTGGGAACATACATCGATTTTTAAAATTGCCACCACCTCCCCTTTAACGAAGAACTGTGATTTGTGTAGATTTAGTTACATAACACTGGCACTGTTCATTTAAAATCTGTATCTCTAACAGTTGCTTTTAATGAAAGCCTGCTTAAAATCATTTCTTCTTAAAATTTTGTTTCTGAATGCATTTTATGGTTCTTACTATCCTTGGTGTCACGAGAATTTGTGACAGTTGAGGGGTAGAGGAAAAGCCCTGACATTTTTTTATCCTTCTGATGCAATGGCAAATTAAAAGATTGCTAAGACCTTAATACTTTTATCACTAATCTTTTCTAATGTTCATTCTTTCCTGGACACTTAGGGCCTGCTCTTTCCCCTATCCCTGGCCTCCCACTCAACCCCTCCCCCCCAAAACAACAACAACAACAAAAACTTCTCTTTATCCTGTGTATCAGGAGTTCTTAACTTCCTTTCCATGGGTAGGCTTCTAAAGATTGGAAACCACCAGGTATTTCTGTATGCAAGACGTTGGTTTTTCTGCTTGTTTCTGGGAAGAGAGTCTGTGGCTTTCATCAGATTTTCAAAGATGTCCTTAATCCAAAAAAGGTTTTAAAAAAAACCTTTATATTCTGTATCTTCTTTATATGCTGTATATTCTAGGACAGTCTATTCTAGGACTTCTCCTTCCCTGTCCCTTCCCACCCACCTCCTAAAAGGAAATAGATGCCCCATATCTACTTGAACCACTCATGAAATGCTAGCAGTTGCCCTTTAATAATAGTCTGCAGTTGGTATTCACACTTTTCGCGTTCTACCACAAAGCATTTTTGCAATTTTATAAAATCAGTTTAGAAATAAGAAAAATGTGAACTTACATGTGGCAAGATCCACAGCCACTTTGGGTCATACCTTGCATCTTGAAACTAGTGGAAAAAACCCAAAGGGTTTTTTAAAAATGTTAGGCCAGGGCTTCCCTGGTGGCGCAGTGGTTGGGAGTCTGCCTGCCGATGCAGGGGACACGGGTTCATGCCCCAGTCCGGGAATATCCCGCATGCCGCGGAGCGGCTGGGCCCGTGAGCCATGGCCGCTGAGCCTGCGCGTCCGGAGTCTGTGCTCCGCAACGGGAGAGGCCACGACAGTGAGAGGCTTGCGTACCGCAAAAAAAAAAAAAAAAAAAGCCCATTGATTTTTGTGCAGAAAATAATAATGACCAAAGTTTATTGAGCACTTTTTATGGGCAAGGCACCATCTTAGTGTTACATGTGTGCTCTCAGTTAATCCCCAACACAACTCGGAAGGTGGCTCCATTATTGTCACCATTTTATATGTGAGAAACAGGCACAGAGCTCATGTTTGAGATCGTGTGGCTAGAATTCAGGCTATCTGACTTCAAAGTTCAGCCTCCAGGTACTATGAGGGTGAAATTTGAAATTTGGAATGAATGTAATTGACATTTTCTCCTTTTGCTGAATCTCCAGCCAGTTGCTTGGTATAACACTGTACTTGAAAAGTACGAAGTGAACAAACCTCACCCCGCAGGTTATGCAAATTTGGTAAATATGGGTAAGCTTGTTATTTTATAGGGTAATGTAGCATGTGTTTATGAGAGGGACAGTGTTGATATTTATGATTTCTTTTCCTTTCAAGCTGCAATGCTGAGGCTTGGGCATCTTTAAAGAAGGACCAGGCACCCTGAGCTCACTACCCCAGTATCTCCACAGGGTTAGAGGTGCTCGGTGGAATTCAGTGCCCCACAACTTCAGCCAAAGGAAGGCAGTGTAACAGGGTCAGAGGCAGGGGTTAGAAAAGCTTCAGGATGGCGTGGTAGGGAGGGGATTTACGAGAACCAGCCAAGGAAGGGCAAACAGCAGCCTTCTTTATTTTAATCATTATTTTCTCTGGCAGAGGTAGAGGATAAAGTAAGTTCCACTTTGAGATGCTGTTTTTGGCAGAGAAGTTACTCTGTCACAGCAGAGAGGAACCAGAGGATTGAGAGAAGATTTGTGGGAAACTTTTATCTTTTCCAATGAGGGAAGAAACACGTTAAGTTCATATGGTAGTTAGCACATTTCACAAAACCTTGGAAACCGATCAATGACTTGTCATTGTCTCAAATTAGTTATAATAAATTACTTTTCTATGCAATGAGTTTGGTTAATTTCTCATTTATTACTATTCTATCTATTAAGTCTAAAAACTAATTTGGTTTTGTGAAAATACTGTAAGCAAATCAAAATTAAATTCAACTAATAGACACCATTGTTAGAATAGTTGTAGCAGATTGCCTACCATTTTGATTTATAACAGAACAGTTCTCAGCAACACTTAGAAATTACTGTTTCAGAAACAGATGTCAGTACCAAAGGTGACCATCTGACAATGTAGGAGGGACTGGCTCTTGCCCAAGAAACTATTGAGATTATAGTTTACATCTGGTGACTAGTGTGCTGAAGTTACCACATCTCTTTTAAGCTCTCTGGAGAGTAGGGTCCCTAACACCCAACTTTGGTTTTTCTTTTTTTGCAGCAGTAGGTTTGACATTACCTGGAAGAGCAGAGATCAAATCACTTTTTGGAGGTTTATGAAATCCTTTATAAAGAGAAATTCATATACTTCCAAGAGAGGGTATAGATGACTTTCTGGTTGCACTTTTTTTTTTTTTCCCCTGGTTGCATTTTTGTTTTCATCAAAAAACACTCAGGTGTTTTCCTTTAAAAAAGGCCTATGAAACCTGTTTTTTTTTAATTTTTGGCCGTGCTGCTAGGCTTGCGGGATCTTAGTTCCCCCACCAGGGATCGAACCTGGGCCCCCTGCAGTGGTAGCACAGAGTCCTAACCACTGGCACGCCAGGGAATTCCCTATGAAACCTGTTTTAAATCAACCATTTTGATGGAGGGTTTAACCTTGAGTATACACTGGAGATCGGAAAACAGATATGAAAACCAGCAGATGTCCTTGAAGCGTCCACTCCTCTCTTCATTTCTCCCTTGCACTTAACTGCCCACATCCAAGCCCTGATGATGAGTCTGGTTCTGAATTGTCTTAAACCTGTTCTCTTTTTGTCTATTTCCATTGTTATGTTTGGTCGTCCTCATCCCTTCCTGAGCACTTCACATCCTTGACTGATACCTCTCTTGGATCCAGTTTTCCTATGTCAGGTTTCCTTCTAAAACAAAGCTCTAAGCTTGTCATTTCCTGTTTTAAAATTTTTCAAAACTCGGAGCTGTCTACAGAAGAGGCCACCACTAATGACCGTCCAACCAAATTCTGCCCACAATTCTGTTTTATTTAGCCTATACAGTATTATTTTTTTATTGAGCTGACATTTAAATATCAAGAGATTTCATCAAAAATTGGAATTTGGGGCCTTTCTTGAAAAACTAGAGGATCTGACAACCCTGGGCCCTGCTCAGCAACAATCCGCTGGAGCTAAAGTTGTTTCTTTTAATGGGGGATGCATCTCTGCATAGTCCCATCTCATGCATTGCCTGGGCCCGAGTACCAGCTGCCCCTTTAGTAGATCACAGGCTGGTGCCTGCCCCCTTGACTCATCTAAGGCACCGAAGGCCCCTGTGGGCAATTTGCCACCCTGGTCAGGCCAAATCCAGCCACTGCTGTTCCTCATCCTCCTTGATTCTTGAACTATACTTGCCATATTGGACTCTCCGCTGCTTTACTACACCACAGATATTTATATTGAGATATATATATATGTGTGTGTATACATATGCATATAATTCCACTCTGCCCTCTTAAACTGAAGCCTTGAAGACAACTATAGATACTTCCCAAACTAAAACCTAGAGTGTAAGCTCTGTGAGGGCATTTCCTGACACATCCATCTCCTGGGCTTGTTCTGAGGCCCCATGGTCTTTTATTCCTCTTTGCCTTGTGATCTACTTTTCCTTTTCCTCTCCCTGAAACATCTTCCTTCATCATCCCACTAGCTCCTGTTCCTCCCAACCTCCCATTCAAACTCCTGCTTATCCTTCAAAACTTATCTAATATTACCTCCTCTGTAAATCCTTTTCTAACACATTCAGGCAAAATAAATTCCCATATGTTCTCTGCTCCCTTAACATGTGATATATATGTGTCTCCCCACCCCCACCCCCTATACTACCACATTGTGTCATCAAGAACATGAGCAACTTGAAAGCAGGGACTGTATCTTTACTTCTTTAGCCCTAGCTTCTAGCACCTAGCACCTCGACTTAAAAAAGGCTTGTTGGCCGGGGGAAAATGGCAGCAGCCGTGTGGCTGACAGGGTCTTGGTGCTCCGGCCGGGTGTCAGGCCTTTGCCTCTGAGGTGGGAGAGCCGAGTTCAGGACACTGGTCCACCAGAGACCTCCCAGCTCCACATAATATCAAATGGCGAGAGCTCTCCCAGAGATCTCCATCTCAATGCTAAGACCCAGCTCCACTCAAGGACCAGCAAGCTACAGTGCTGGACATTCCATGGCAAACAACTAGCAAGACAGGAACACAAACCCACCCATTAGCAGAGAGGCTGCCTAAAATCATAATAAGGTCACAGACACCCCAAAACACACCGCTGGACGTGGTCCTGCCCACCAGAAAGACAAGATCTAGCCTCATCCACCAGAACACAGGCACCAGTCCCCTCCACCAGGAAGCCTACACAGCCCACTGAACTAACCTTAGCCACTGGGGGCAGAGACCAAAAACAACAGGAACTACAAACCTGAAGCCTGCAAAAAGGAGACCCCAAACACAGTAAGATAAGCAAAATGAGAAGACAGAGAAACACACAGCAGATGAAGGAGCAAGATAAAAACTCACCAGACCTAACAAATGAAGAGGAAATAGTCTACCTGAAAAAGTATTCAGAGCAATGATAGTAAAGATGATCCAAAATCTTGGAAATACAATGGAGAAAATACAAGAAATGTTTAACAAGGACCTAGAAGAACTAAAGAGCAAACAAACAGTGATGAACAACACAAGAAATGAAATTAAAAATTCTCTAGAAGGAATCAATAGAATAACTGAGGCAGAAGAATGGTTAAGTGACCTGGAAGATAAAATAGTGGAAATAACTACCACAGAGCAGAATAAAGAAAAAAGAATGAAAAGAATTGAAGACAGCCTCAGAGACCTCTGGGACAACATTAAACACACCAACATGCAAATTACGGAGGTCCCAGAAGAAGAAGAGAAAAAGAAAGGGACTGAGAAAATATTTGAAGAGATTATAGTTGAAAACTTCCCTAGTATGGGAAAGGAAATAGTTAAGTCCAGGAAGCACAGAGAGTCCCATACAGGATAAATCCAAGGAGAAACACGCTGACACATAGTAATCAAATATCAAAAATTAAATACAAAGGAAAAATACTAAAAGCAGCAAGGGAAAAACAACAAATAACATACAAGGGAATCCCCATAAGGTTAACAGCTGATCTTTCAGCAGAAACTCCGCAAGCCAGAAGGGAGTGGCAGGACATATTTAAAGTGATGAAAGGGAGAAAACTACAACCAAGATTACTCTACCCAGCAGGGATCTCATTCAGATTCGATGGAGAAATTAAAACCTTTACAGACAAGCAAAAGCTAAGAGAATTCAGCACCACCAAACCAGCTTTACAACAAATGCTAAAGGATCTTCGCTAGGCAGGAAACACAAGAGGAGGAAAAGACCTGCGATAACAAACCCAAATCAATTAAGAAAATGGTAATAGGAACATACATATCGATAATTACCTTAAATGTAAATGGATTAAAAGCTCCAGCCAAAAGACATAGAATGGCTGAATGGATAACAAAAACAAGACCCGTATATATGCTGTCTACAAGAGACCCACTTCAGACATAAGACCTAGGGACACATACAGATTGAAAGTGAGGGGATGGAAAAAGATACTCCATACAAATGGAAATCAAAAGAAAGCTGGAGTAGCAATTCTCATACCAGACAAAATAGACTTTAAAGACAATTACAAAAGACAAAGAAGGACACTACATAATGACCAAGGGATCAATCCAAGAAGAAGATGTAACAATTGTAAATATTTATGCACCCAACATAGGAGCACCTCAATACATAAGGCATATGCTAACAGCCATAAAAGGGGAAATCGACGGTAACACATTCATAGTAGGGGACTTTAACACCCCACTTTCACCAATGGACAGATCATCCAAAATGAAAATAAATAAGGAAACACAAGATTTAAATGATACTTTAAACAAGATGGATTTAATTGATATTTATAGGACATTACATCCAAGAACAACAGAATACACTTTTCTCAAGTGCTCATGGAACATTCTCCAGGATAGACCATATCTTGGGTCACAAATCAAGCCTTGGTAAATTTAAGAAAATTGAAATTGTATCAAGTATCTTTTCTGACCACAACACTATGAGACTAGATATCAATTACAGGAAAAAAAATCTATAAAAAATACAAACACATGGAGTGTAAGCAATACACTACTAAATAACCAAGAGATCACTGAAGAAATCAAAGAGGAAATCAAAAAATACCTAGAAACAAATGACAATGAAAACATGACAACCCGGGCTTCCCTGGTGGCGCAGTGGTTGAGAGTCCGCCTGCGGATGCAGGGGACATGGGTTTGTGCCCCAGTCTGGGAAGATCCCACATGCCGTGGAGCGGCTGGGCCCGTGAGCCATGGCTGCTGAGCCTGCGCATCCGGAGCCTGTGCTCCGCAGCAGGAGAGGCCACAACAGTGAGAGGCCCACGTACCGCAAAAAAACAAACAAACAGAAAAACATGACAACCCAAAACCTATGGGATGCAGCAAAGGCAGTTCTAAGAGGGAAGTTTATAGCAACACAATCCTACCTCAAGAAACAAGAAACATCTCAATTAAACAACCTAACCTTACACCTAAAGCAATTAGAGAAAGAACAAAAAACCCCCAAAGTTAGCAGAATGAAAGAAATCATAAAGATCAGATCAGAAATAAATGAAGGAAACAATA